ATTTGGTTGCAACGTAGTCCTCCACATACATAGACTAGAACAATGTAAGCAGCATGTTAAGTCATTTATGTGCATGTAAACTGCTTTGTTGCCTGGTAAGCAAAGCATGTAAGACACGAGCATCAAAGCAGGAGGTTGAGAGACTGAGTCACCCTAGATTTTTCTTTCTTCTTTGTCTTTCTTCTATTTTTTGATTCAACGCAGAAACATTTGCTGGTAATGGTTTTCTACATGCCTCAACATTTTATCCTAAAAGCATCTGATGGGAAGTGTCTGTAGAAGATTTTGGGGAGTTAATCAAAATTAAAGATCACAGAGTGCCTTCAAAACATTTTTGATCTGCTTCACCACCAAAGGGGAAGATTAGAGGATCACTAAAGATACTGTGTAGGGAAATGAACATCTCAAACAAATTTCACAGCACTCAGTCCAACTGATGCTTCAGTCTGTAACAAAATTATGACCCAACATTTGAGCCTTTTTGCAGTTATAGTAGAAAGAATGTAACACTCATTATATTACATATTGCAGAAGAAGAGCTACAGAATCAAGGCTTGAATCGAATCGAGGCTAACAACCCTCTCTGTGTTTGGATATGTTATTATTGTGTAATTATGTTGACCTCCAAACATGATGCGTTTGTGGTGTTCATCGTCAGCTGAAAGATTTATGGAGTCACCTGAAAAGCAGCCAAAAAAAACTGTTACCTTTGTGACCTTTGCATCTTTTGTTGAAATTTCTTAGCACCACAAATTAAATTCCTCTGAACCCCAGAGCACTGAACTGGACAACAATCAGATGCACAAATAAAGCTCAAAGTATCTGCATAGATAAGCGAGTACAGCTGTGTCATTTCTGTTTGTCAGTTGGATAAACTGAGCAAAACGCTGCAACAGATTCTCACTCATCCGCTCCGCCTAATTACAGAAAAGCACACCAGCACAGTCAGGCCACGACTTCACGGTGGTCTGAGTTATCTGAGGGGAGACACGAAGAGCAGCAGAGACCAGTGATCAGATGTGTCACCCGGTGAACCATCCTCTCTGTGCATTTATCTGTGGGCAGATAAACAAACACACATACAGAGATGCTGACATGAAATCCGCTGTGCTGGAGCATCTGAGAAAACTGAGCTGCGATCAGACCACAGAGTGCAGAGGTTTGATCTCTGTTTTTTATTTCAGTTCAAATAAAATAAAGCTGCTGATTCGTGCACAGCTTCTGTTTTGCTTAAATAAACTCTGTTCTGATTTAATGATTTTCAGTGTCTCACTGGAAGCTCCAGAACCTCTTTTTGCACACATCGTTGCATGCAAGGCTATGAAAAAGACTTTAAGACTGTTCTTGCCCATTCATTTTCTGTCTAATGTAGACATCACAAGAAAAACTCTTTATTTAGGACCCATATTAAACCTCGAATGACCTGCTAAAAGAGTTTTAAAATGTTTTTGAAATCTGAGGCACTTCCCATCATCAGTTTAGTTTGCAGAGTAAACATTAGCAGGCCTGCAGCAGGCATCTTTCCACAAAGCTGCATCCACACGCCTGTGCAGAATGTTGTTAGCCCACACAAAACCACAGATTTAATGATACTGCAAAATATGCTGATTGTGTTGTGGTAATTTGTCTTATTTTCCACTGTACTTGTTGACAACTGGTTACAGAGAAAGAGATAGAGGCCAGTGTCAGGCAAGTGGAAGCTGGCTGCTTAGAATCAACAGTTAAACTGTGTTTTATAATACTAGAAATATGAATGATTAGTTTTGCAGACAAACAGCTTTGATTTGAGCTACAGAGGGTGTGTAGGTCTTTACTTATTCATGCTACACACAAAACTCCGGCTGAAAGCCTGCAGCATCAGAAATGGTGTTATAACAACTTCTACTTAAGACGATGTCGCCCCAAACTCGACCTCAGTGCTGTCAGGCTACAAAATAGTGATTTATCATTCTGAAGGTGAGTTATAAATAATTTACGCTACACATTTTAGCTCACAGGAGGCTCCTTTATCATTGCTTTCTAGTCTATTCTTCATAATTCTTCATTTAGACGAAAAGTGATTTGTACATGTTGATTTCTAACATAAACCATGGGTTAGTTACCATGGAGATTTACCCAGGTAACAGCTGCATCACCTTTGTGGGTGGCTCGCTAAACCTGAAATCCTGCTTAGCAGCACAGACCTCTGGACAAAGAGTTTCCCCGTCTCCAACAAACCAACTAACAGCACACTGAAACTAGTCTGAGTTCAGCTTTTTCCCGATCAAATCCGGTAAAAATGATTTATCTGCAACTGTTCTGTGGTTGGTTTGCTTCCTCTTGCAATGAAAGCATTTTAAAGTGGGTCAAATCAGCCCACGAACTCTCCCAACATCATCCACAGGCCGAGCATGTGCTGCGTGAGACGTGGCACGTACGTTTTTTGTGATCAGAACCCAAACGGAAATCACGCTTGTGCTAAAACCTGTACACAGCAGTTTCACTTGCACTGTGTCCTCAAACAAATTCACGTCAAAGGATTCCAACTAAACTTTAAACTCTTATTATTAAAGCTACATTCAGCTGCTCCCTTATTTGAAAGAGGTCAGCCCTGCAGAGAGCTTTGCATGTTTGATTTGGCAGATTTTTACAGTGACCTTCCTGATGCAACCCCAGAAGCATTTGGGTCTCCTCCAAGAATCAAACCAAGGACCTTTTGCTTGTCAGATGAACACGTGAACTCCTACAGTAAAGAGCCAGAAGCTACATTTATCACAAGCAGCTAAACATTTTTTTTTCTGTGAAAAGATGCTTCAACAACTGATTTTTATTTATTTTTTATCCTTATGCTTCCTTTGTTTCCTAATTATGTCCTATAAAAACACTGATGAACACACACATGAACCTTTTTGTTTATATCTTGATATCATTTTGAGGGGAAAATTTAAAAAAGGATGAAAAAGAATAAAAAAAATAGTTTTATTCCCTCAAATTATTAAGTGTATGCACGTGTAGTTGATACATAAAAGCTATACATGGAGGTAAATAAATCATAAATCAACAGCTGTGGTGTATCAATGATATTTGATCCATGAGTGATTTAATATTTTCATGTTTTCTTTATAGTTAGCATGTTTTTAACCATCCAAGCCGTTTCAAATTAACCACCTTGCAACCGCTCTGACTAATCTTCTACCTCACCTGAGAATCCAAGAACCCTGATAAACCAATACTGATAATGTTGCATTAACAGCGACGGGTCCAAGGCCTTCAGCTTCATTAGACAACAGACCTGAGAGTTTCAGCAGCTACCAAGTAGATATGAAAACCGAACACACAACTTTGATCAGGCTTCAAACACACACCAGTTTCTTCACTGTAAACACAAAAAAATTAGTCCTTCTTATATATTATGTTATGTTATCATGTAAAGTTTATCACATTAACTGTGATTGGACTGAGAGAGGATGAGAAAACTGAATGAATTCACCAGCTAAAAAGGTTCAGGCCGGAAAAGGATTAAAAGAGTTGTTCACAAGCAGCACAACTCCAATCACAGTGGTGCTTCATATAACTCATAACTGCGCTCACAGGCACACAAACGTAAATACACCACAGACGTCAAACTTGCCCTTTTGGTTGTCTCTGGGGTCTCTAAGGTGCTCGTGCAGGTGATGATGTAGTCGGGATAGACGGTGGACCAGCCACTCTCTGTACAGTTCCTGCTGAGGCTGCCTGAAAGAAAACCGACGGGTTTTAGAGCCTTTTAGAACTGAACTATAGATTTCATGAAATCTAACATCAGTGCTGCATATAAAGATATATTGCCCCCATTTTTTAAAGCTTCAGTGATATTTGTCCACAGATTTTAGATTTGGATAACTGGAATAACAATTATATAACACCAGTGCAGTCAGATTCACAGCAGCAGTTGCCTGGACAGACAAAAACAAAGTGGAGATGTTTGTTCCTAATCAGAGCGCCACATTTGGAGAAAACCAAACACAACTGTCAGCATGGTGGTGGAGGGTTCGTGATTTGGGCTTGTTTTGAAGCCACAGGACCCGGACACTCAAAGAATCAGCATAATGACGACACATGTCTGTTTTTACCCTCTCAAACAGCTCTCATCAGAGGCAGGCACATTTGTAGGCCTCAGTGAGGACTTTTGATACTGAGCAGCTACTGTTCTCATCTGTGGTGCTGATTGTGGTGCTCATGTATTAATGCTGTGTGTTTCTGCAGGGGCAGCGAGAGGAGGATAAACCAGCCGCTCACTGATGCTACTGAGGGAAATCACAGAGGGTCGGACATATGGCGTCAGCCGCTGTGCAAATGATCACAAACATTAAAAGAAGCAGCTCAGGAAGCACTGGATGGAGACGATAAAAGAGCCACAAGTCAAAGTGAGAAATGGCAGAAAGTTAAAAAAGAAAGAGGTCAAAGAAGCTCTGTTATATTTAAAATAAGACAAGTATTAAAGAATTTCAATGGTAGTAAAAGCCACACAAACATCTTTTCACTTAAGCAAACTTAATCACTCCTTATTAGTGTTGAGACTGGTGGCATTTGAGTGAATCCACTGGATACTTATAAAGGATTATTTTTCTGTATCAGAGTTCAACAAGATGAAGATTTCAAAGTTTTCGAGCACACAAAAACTAAATTATAATAAATAATAAAATGTTGAGTATGCCACAGTTTTTAAACAGTCCATAAACTGCTGCACAGTCCTCAGACTTGGCGGGGCGGGGGTCATACTAAGTGTCAGCCGTCTTAAAATGTTTTAAAAGTCGGGGGAAGTTGAAGCTTCCTTTAACTGAAATTCTGTATAATTTCCAGATCACACTTTTTGTTTTTTTTTAGCAAGTCGTGTGTGTGTGTGTGTGTGTGTGTGTGTGTGTGTGTGTGTGTGTGTGTGTGTGTGTGTTAACAAAGATGATTGAAGGGCAGCAGGAGGAAGTGTGTCTCTGAGAAGAAGCTCACCGTTCTTGTGAAAAAGCAGCAGGAAGGGGGTGGGACAGTGTAAGGTCAGCACATCGCCGACCGCGGCGCTCTGCCAACATGAAACGTTGTCCCACTCGCCGTGACATCCTGGACAGATATATACAGAGATACACACACACGCACAGACGTTAGAAGTGTGAACTTGCCTGCACAGAACTTCCTGTTTGGCTGAGCGACCTGTGTGGAGCTTCTGTGCGAGCTGCTGATTGAACGTGGACAATAAATCCAGCCCACATCAAAGCAGCCTGTGAGGTTTGGACATTTAGCTTTACTGCTCAGCCAGGAGGGACAACAAAGACATTCACTTAACACTCTGAAGGCCTCTTAATAGTTAAGTTAAAAATAAATGTAGCCTGATGAGGCCTGAGAGTAACTAATGCTGGTACTGTCCTTTAACATCAAACACACATGTGTATCTATAGAGCAGCGTGAGAAAAAGCTCACAGTCTGAAAGCTGAGACCACACAGATTAAACACATTTTATTATCTCTGTGCTCAAACATTCACACACACGACCGTTCACAAACAACAGAACAGCCTCTGTATGTCTGTGCGTCAGTCTTTGGTTACTCGTGTTGTGGTTTCACACAGAAATCATCCTAATATAAGTCGTGAACATCTGGAGACTCTACTGATGCCGATTGTGTGCAGCAGTCCTTCAAGCCTTTTATTCTTGCTGAAAAACAAGAGGTTAAAAAACAAAGCTGCTTCGTCAGTCAGCTCAAGCATCACACAGAGGTTTGTGTGAGCATCACAGCACGCATATCCATGGTGTCACTTTGTATGTTGCCATCACTTTTGACGCGTATGAATTAATGCGCGTTTCCATCCGGGGTACTTCTCAAAAAAGTAATGCATTACCTTACTTTATTTCTATATTGTCAGACGTAAATTGTGACAGAAGGATAACAGGCCTCCAACTTGCACTGGAGCAGTTCACAGCTGAGTGTGAAGCAGCAGGAATGAAAATCAGCACCTCCAAATCTGGAGACAGAAACGAGTAGAGAGCCCACTCTGGCTCATTCTGGGATGAGTTCCTGCCAACGTGAAGGAGTTTAAGTATCTCAGGGTCTTATTCACGAGTGAGGGGAGAAGGGAGCGGGAGGACGACAGTGCAGTGATGGAGATGCTGTACTCTGTGGTGAACAGAGAGCTGAGTGAAAAGTGAAGCTCTCAGTTTACCTGTCAGTCTACATCCCTACCTTCACCTATGGTCACGAGCTGTGGGTAGCGATCGAAAGAATGAGTTTGCAGATACAAGCGGCGGAAATGAGTTTCCTCTGAAGGGTGGCTGGCCTCTCCCTTAGAGATAGGGTGAGGAGTTCAACCATCCAGGAGGAGCAGCAGCTCCAATGGGCCAGTTGAGGTGGTTCAGGCATCTGACTAGGATGCCTCCCACGCACCTGCTGGGTGAGGTGTTCCAGGCATGTCCCACCAGGAGGAGGCCCCGGGGCAGACCCAGGATACGCTGGAGAGATTATATCTCTCGGCTGGCCTGGGAACGCCTTGGTGTTCCACCAGACAAGTTAGAGGGTGTGGCCAGGAAGAAGGAGGACTGGGCTTCTTCTGCTGCCCCCGATAAGCGCAAGAAGATGGATGGATGGATGGATGGATGG